CCCCTGTTCAGGAGCATTTCTTTGGGCTGCTGAGACAGCTACTGCAGAGACCTAGGCAGGAGACCGAGTCCCGGAGTCCACGCAGCGGGGGAGCAGCGAGAGTAGAGAATCTGCTGCCCACGAGGGCGGCAACACTGGCATCAGGGAAGCGGCCGTGGCTAACTCGAAGCAGAACGGGACAGACGCCTGCACTGAGGCTCCGTGCTAAGGGTGCCGCGGGGCCCAGGGACGGAAGAGCAGGACGAAGCCCTGGGGACTGAGGGGGCACCGGGAGCAGGGCACGGCTCCGGGCAGTGCCAGGCTGCAGTCCTCGCTCTGGTCGGGACCTGCTACACCTCGGCGATGGGCAGAGGGGGTACCTCCTGCCCGACAGAGGTCCAAGCTCCCTGCGCGAGTGTCCATCGTGTCCCCCATGTCTCGCGAGCAAGTCCCCCAAATGCCTCCTCATCTCTGCCTGCAAGAGCTTTCACCTGCGATGCTGACCAGGGCAGTAGCTGTCACATTGGTTTGTCGCGTGCCTGTGTGTATGCGCGCGCGTGTGTGGTAGTAGGGGTTAAACTCAAGGCACTCTGCCAGTGAGCGACATTCCAAGCCCTTTTTATTCAAGACAGTGTCATGGCATACTGCCGAGGCTGCCTTTGAACCTGTGATCCTCCTGCCTCAGCCCCCCAAGTAGCTGAGATTACAAGCATGTACAGTGGCACCCTGCTTGTTTTGCTATTTTTTCCTTTTCTTTTTTACTTACCAGTGAAAGGGAAATGCCCAAAATATAAAGAAGAAAAAAAATATATATAAAGAATAAAGAAAATAGGTACCGTGTAATGATCCTCAAATTAGCTAATAAACTTCTAATTTTAAAAAAATATTTAGGCAGGGGATTTAGCTCAGTGGTTCTGCTGCCTGCCTCACAAGCACAAGGTCCCGAGTTCGATCCCCAGTACCAAAAAAAAAAAAAAAGATCTAGCAGTCGGGAGGCTGAGGCAGGAGGGTGCCAGTAAGTTCCAGGCCACCCTGGGGTACATAGTGAGTTCAAATCCAGCTTGAACTACATATCAAGACTGTCTTAAACAAATAAACAAACAAAATCTAAGTGTGAGAGCACAGGCCTGTAATCCCAGCACACTGGGAGGCTGAGGCAAGAGGATGGGCAATTTTGAGCCCAGCCTGGGTAATTTAAAGAGACTCTGTCTCAAAGTAAAAAAACAAAGACAAAGAGCTAAGGATGTAGCTCAGTGGAAAGGTCCTAGGTTCAAGCCACAGCTGCATAACCAAAAACAAAAAACTAAATTAAACTAAAAAAACCCCACAAAACTCTACATAATAAATAACTCATATTGCTTTTTTTTTTCTTTTTCTTGGTACCAGGGATCGAACTCAGGACCTTGAGCTTACGAGGCAGACGGCGGCACTACTGAGCTAAATCCCCAGCTTGTATTGCTTTTGACAGGATAAACTATCATACTGAGTCTAACAGCACTTAAAATATACAGAACTGATAAAACAAGGAAATGATTACATAACTTGCAGGTCTTGGAGATCAGAAAACATTGTATATAACTTCGATGGCACCAGGCAGCTACCTTAGATTGTATTGAAAACCATGAAAAAGAGACCACAGGATCCCAGGGTCTTCCGGTTCCGGTGGGCGGGGCTCCGAGCAGGGGCTGGCCAGGAGACCCCGGGGCATGGAAGCCACAGCCCTAGGGAGAATCAGAGCCCCAGCCAGCCAGGCACTTCTGGAAATGTTCCCTGCTGCAGTCTTCACACTTCCTCGACAAATGTTCCTATGTAGCCCATTTGTTCAAATGAATGATAATGGAAAAAAGAATTGCTTTATCACAGCTAACTTTACTCCCAACAATTATTTCAAGAAAAGCAGAGGAAAGAAGCTGCTTCCAAGAACCTTTAGCCCTCCTTTCTCATCGTCATTCCATACAGAATGACTAAGGGACCCACAGGGGACTTGGACACCTGAGGATTGGCCACTCGTGACCCACAGTACACACAGGTGAGCTGGGTTCAGTGGTGTGCACCTAAAACCCCAGCTACTCAAGATATTAAAACATAATATTTTGAATGTATAAACCTAGTGGGATGGTATATATAAACAGAGATGGTAATTACAAAGTAATAATCTTAAACTATGCAAGTATTATGGTTAGTAACATTTTGAAACCATGCATAGATAGATAAGGTTACTACATGTAGACATAGATAAATAACAGACAAGCCAGGCGTGGTGGCACATGCTGTAATCCTAGCGCTCTGGGAGACTGAGGCAGAAGGATCACCAACTCTTGTCCTATCTGGGCAATTTAATAAGATCCTGTCTCAGAATTTTAAAAGCCGCAGGTAGGGATATAGTTCAGTCCAAAGGCCCAGACATGTAGACCCTGTGGGCTGATATATGTCACTCCATGTTATAGTCAACTCCACAGCAAAGATGGGACTTTAGAAACCCCATGAATAAATAACCTCTATGAACCTAGGTTATAAGACACCAGCCCCTACAGATGGTCCAGAAAAGTGGATTCCTTGAACACTGGTATATGCAAGGGATGTTCACCATACATATTAACTGAGTAAAGGCTCTGAGAAATTCTGTAGTAAATAGCTTGTTAAATTTTCCTTTCCCCAAAGTGTATTAGTATTTCCATTATTTCACTCCTAAAATTCCATATACAACCATGCCTGGTGTTGCACACTTGTAATCCCTGTACTCCGGAGGCTGAGGCAGGAGGATCGCTGGGAGTCTGAGGCCAGCCTGGGCTACACAGTGAGTTCAAGATCAGCCTGAGGGGCTGGGAATTTAGTTCAGTGGTTTTGCCGCTTGCCTCGAAAGCAGAAGGTCCCGAGTTTCGATCCCCAGTACCAAAAAAAAAAAAAACAACCCACATAAAACAAAACAACTCCATATATACCTCAACAGCTACTGAGAGCTTTACAACTACTGTGTTTTCAGAAAACACATCTGCTGTGGTTTGAATGTGTCCTTAATCTTAGCCTTCCCAGCCTCTTGCAGTATGAGAAATAAACTCTTGTGTGTGTGAGTCGCCCAGTATGTTGTCACAGCAGCTAAACACATCAAGGCGACGCCGTTAGAGATGAGCCAGCCCTGGCCATCTTCCCAGGGGCACAGATCACAAAGCCAGCTGTGGTCCCCGGCTCTGGTGTTGTCCCCAGCAGCCTGTCTAGTGTCCCCGCCCACCTCACCTTCCCGGAGCAGAATCCAGACCCACCCACTCCTCTTGCCAAACCCGTCACTTCCAGGGGACTCAGCTTAGTGTCGGGTGCGCTTCATGACAAGGTGCCCTGGCCACCTCGCGTCCACCCCAGCCTCCCCCCTATCTCTCTGCCAGCGGGCCTAAGGCTGGCAGGGAGCTGAGAGCTGGGTCTGACAGAGCAAGCTGGACTCCACGCCCCACTGGTCTTTGACCCCTGATCCTGGACGTTTTTCTGATTTCTGGAAGCCTGTTGTTCTCGTTGTTATTTTTCACATTTCGGTGTATGAAGAAGCTATTACTTCTTCAGCCATGACTCCCGGACCCCTTCCTTTCCTGGGTGGAATGAATGGATCCTTCCTGTGGATTTTGGTGGCTATTTATTTATTTATTTTTGGTACTGGGGATTGAACTCGGACCTTGCACTTGCGAGGCAGGTGGAGGAACCACTGAGCTAAATCCCCAGCCCTGGTGACTATATTTTATTTTTCCCATCTGCCTTACCCAGCAATTATAATTGTCAGTCTGTAAAGTCCTTGAATCATCCCTTATTCTTCTCTGCTTCCTTCTTTTCCAGAGCACATAGTCTAGACCTTTGGGTGCTTTTTTCTTCTTTTCCTTCCAAGACAGGGTCTCACTATGTAGTTCAGGCTGGCCTGGAATTGTGGCCATCCTCCTGCCTCAGCCGCCCAATTACAGGTGTGCACCCCCACACCCAGCTATAATTTTGGATGCTTTTGAAGCTAAAGACTTGTTTACTGTGGCCATTCCTGTCCAGGCATGTATTACATTTAGCAAATTTTTCTTACCATCTAAATATTTTAACATTAGCAGTCATCTTTAGTGATAACTACTAAGATTATCTTGGGTTTGAAATGCAAATATTATGTGAAGAAAATGTTTGTAATGGAAACTTTTTATAAAAAATTCACTAAAAGCAGCATGCAGTTTATCTCACTGGGTAATAATTTTAAATTATGCATCATCTTTGAAATTGTTCCACAAATAGTTTCCCTTGTTCTCTTTCTGTGAGGTTGTCGGTAGTGCTATTTTACTTCAAGATGATAAACTCCCAAGTTGAAGTGATGTCCTGGAACCTAACCAGGTGTTCGAGGCAGTCACAATTCTTGCCCTGGATTTTCGAAGACTACAGAATAGACTGAAAATTCCACCATAGCTTGGAAGGTTCAGATCGCCTTTGGGTTAAGCCTTTCTATACTATACATAGGATTGACTATGATTACCCATTTGCTCCGTTAAAAGCAAATAAAGCTCCCAAACTAGATTTAAGTGTTCACTTTTCTACTTCAACCTCTGCTTGCCTCATCTTACTCTTCCTTTTAATTAGTTATCATTTCTATTACTCTGCAGTAACAACATTTAAAGTGTTTCCTGGGCTGGGGATTTAGCTCAGTGTTTTCGCCGCCTGCTGTGCAAGCGAAAGGACCTGAGTTCGATCCCTGGTACCAAAAAAATAAATAAATAAAATAAAATAAAAATAAAAAATAAATAAAGTGTTTCCTATCCAGAGATCTAGGAGGAAATAAAAGTCTTTGTGGGCAACTGCTTTGGTGATGTTGAACATATGGGAAGACAATTATTCTTTCAGTATATTAAAATAAACCAGGTCAGTGGTGCACTCCTGTAATACCAACATTTGGGAGGCTGAGGCAGGAAGAGCACCATGAGTTTGAGCCCAGAATGGGCCCCAGAGAAAGTTCAAGGCCAGCCTGAACTACATAGTGAGACCTTGTCTCAAAAAACAAATGTGGTGGTTAATTGATTAATTGTCAACGTGAGTGGGAACGCCTGGCTGACTTGAGTCAGCGTGGTTCTGGGCGGGAAGACCCACTTTTAGGAGGATTGTTGTCCAAATGGTACAAAAGGAGAAGGGCGGGAAGGCTTTCAGCTGACTTCCCTTGTAGGCGCTTTGGCTGTTCCCTTCCGGAAGCTCTGCTTTTCGCCTGCCTTGGGCTTTGTCTCCTGGCTTTCGGTGCAGATTCCTCAGCTTCCAGCACCGACCTTTCGGCTGCCGCAGACTGACTTCTAGAGCTGACCCTTCGACCTCCGGCACAGGCCCCTCTGTCTTCTGTCACGGATCCTTCGGCCTCCTGATGCAGACTCGTTACGGGACATTGCTGCGGACTCCCGGCCTTTGGCTGGACCCCTGGGATCTGTAGCGCCTGGACGATCTTTGGCTCGCTTCTACTTTTGACCCTGGGCGGCTGTTGTAGGCGAGTCTCGTGGGTTTCCGTGTCCGGCATTAAATCTGATGCAGAGCATGTGCAGTCTTTTCAGGAGCCTCGCCCCAGCCCTGCAAGCTCTGGTGAGCACTAATACTACAAACAAAAATGGCTCTTAGTGGGACAATAAAAACTAAACAAATGTCCTTTAGCCTGAGGGTAGATTGGGGAGAAATTTGAACATTAGATTACCATTTCTTTGACAGAAACTATCCCCAACACTCCTGAGTAACACTAGATTGTGATTCCAAATCAGCAATTGTCAGTATTTCTGTGGGCAATCTTGTCACTTTCACTTGGTAAACAGATAAATGGAAATAATGTATATGTCACATTCTCTCAGTGAGAAACCTACTAGTGTTTTTATAAATATCACAGAACTTCTGTTTATGTTCTTGCTAAGCAAAAAACACACCCTAGTGTGCTGATGCACTCCTGGGATACCAAGGCTCAGGATGCTGAGGCAGGAGGGTCACTGCAAATTGGAGGGAGCCTGAACTACATTTCCAACTCTGTCTCAGCCCTCCTCACCCCCCAAAAATCACGTACTTAAAAATGAGAAGCTGAATCAGTTTCCAAAACCTTTTTCTTTATGAAAAAAAAGCAATAGGTGTTCCATGCTCTATTAGTCTCGTAGGGTCACTGTAACATAGGACAGTCGTGCATGATTTCATGGCAGCGATAAGTTCTGAAAATGCGTCACGAGGCATTTCATCATTATTCAGATATCATACCGTCCCTGCACAAACTTCGATGGCCTTGGCATCACTAGGTGATACCATTTTTTTTCCATTACTGGGGACTGAACGCAGAGCCTTCACACAGAGTTACAGCCCCAGTCCTCTGTATTTTTTTTTATGACAGTGGCTGGATAACTTGCTAAATTACCCAGGCTGGACTTGAACATGTGATCCTCCTGCCTCAGCCTCCCAGAGTGGTGGGATTACAGGCGTGCACCACCAGACCAGGGTCCATACAATTATTTTAACAGATAATGACCAGGCATTGTGCAAGTGAGGGACCTAGATGCTCCGGGCCTCAGATTCCTCATTTCCTAGGCAAGGCAATTGCAACTCCTTATTCTCAAGATAGGGTCTCTGGGACCAGGAGGATTGACCTATCGAATTTTGTAGGCCAAGAGGGAATCCAATCCAAATTTATTTCTCCCCAGACAAGTCCCTGAAACACTTCAATCCCCTCACCCACCACAGTGCTGGGGACGCAGCCAGTCCTTGCCTGTAACCCACATGGCAGCGGCCACCCAGGGGCTCGTCTCCATCTCCACGGTGACAAGACTCCCATCCCTCAGCCTCCAATTCTGGGCAGTTGCCCAGATACTCGCCTCTGGCTCTCTCCTCTTCCTTTGATTTTTATGCCTTGTTTGTTTGTTTGTTTTGAGATAGGGTCTGGCCATGTAGCCCAGGCTGGCCTTGAACTCATGGCAGTCCTCCTGCCTCAGCCTCCCGAGTGCTAGGATCATAAGTCTGTGCCACCACATCTGGCTTTTCCTCTGATTTGGTGGCAGCCTGGTCCCTAATTCTTCCAGCCCTCCTTTCAGCCCGGCCTTGTTCTCCCATGATTAGCTCCAGGCACTGAACCACTTTGACCCTACACCCTATCATACCCGAAACTCTCCGATAACCATGTGGTCCACTGCACGTGTAACGCGTTCCTAAATCCCAGAATGCAATTCGCTGCTGTCCAGCTTTTTGGAGCATCGCATGTGTGTAGCCGAGGGACCAGCTGCAGAAAACCTGTGGCCGGGCCTGCACTTGTCGGTGAGGACTGTGGACGTGTCACGGTGTGTTTCCTGAAGGAAATACAGGAGACGGCTGCATACAGACAAGTGTTCATCAAAGCACAAAGGACGGAAAAGAAGACCAAGTGCCCTGGGAATGTGACACAGGGCAAACATTAGCCCGGGGGGAAATCAGGATTCGGGTTAGGTTCATGTTCGGTCAAACCCTGGTCTACATGTAGCTTCGAAGGTCTTTTGCCGATGTGATTAATGTCCACAACCAGTGGACATTCTTCTGTGCCTAATGAGCATGACCACAGCATGCTCAGTTCAACTAGAACCTGTTTTAGTCTACTGAGTCCCTTCCCTGGCCCCTCCTCTCCAACTGGTAGCTGTTTGCTTTCAGAATGTCATTTCCTACTAAAGAAATTAGTTGGCAAAATGCCAAGAGGAAGTGACTTTCACCAAGTGAAGTTTCGAAAATGCAGCTTTTGTTTTTTGTATTTGTTTGCTCTCTGCTAGCAAATTCAGATTTTGAGAAATCGCATTCACTGCCTTTCATAATGTAAAACAATTCAAGCTGGGTGAGGTGATGCATGACTGTAATCCCAGCATTTTGGGAGGCTGAGACACCAGGATCACTAGTTCAAACCCAGTTTGGGCAATTTAGCAAAACTGTGTCTTACAATAAAAAAAATTTAAAATGGTTTAGAGATGTAACTCAGTGTGAGGGCCTGAGTTCAATCCCCAGTACTGCAAAAAACAAACAAAACCGTTCGGGACTATTTGGGAAGGTGCAACATCTATTGTAGGATGTGAAGTACAATGTTGGGGGAGCTTGAAAGAGAATGAATGAAATTTGGATAAATTTTGGATCTGTTTTCATTTCTAAAATTCACAGAACCAATTAGCTTGATGTTGAGTGAAATAGTAGGCACCAGCAGATGAAAAGGCCGGTCCAGGGTGACAACGAGAACCCCAGGGAGCGGTAAGTAAGGTTTGTTAGTGACCAGATGAAGGCCCAGCTAGCAAAGGTGTCAACTCCTTAATGGAAGGAATCCCTCAAACTCAATGGAAAGAAGCTAGTCTAGCTGGGTATGGTGGCGCCTGGCTATAACCTCAGCACTCTGGGAGGCTGAGGCAGGAGGATTGCAAGTTTGCCCAGCCTGGGCAATTTAGGGATTTAGCAGTACCCAGGTAGTAATCCAGAAGGAACATCTTGTTGAGGGGAAGGGTGCAGTGTGCTGTTTCACTGCAGCCTGGCAGTGTCTTCCCTTGTAAGAAAGAGGAGGAAGGAAAAAGAAAGGAAAAGAAAAAGAACAAAAGGCCAGGGGTGGTGATGCACACCTGTAATCCCAGCACTCCCGAGGCTGAGGCAGGAGGATCACTGAATTCAAGGCCAACTTCAGCTGCACAGTGAGTTCAAGGTCAGCCTGAACTGTATAATGAGACCCTGTCTAAAAAAACAAAACAAAACAGGGCCTGGGGGCCAGGGATTTAGCTCAGTGGTTTCACCGCCTGCTGTGCAAGCCCAAGGACCCAAGTTTGATCCCTGGTACCAAAAAAAAAAAAAAAAAAACCAGGGGCTGGGACTTAGCCCAGTGTCACTGTGCCTGCCTGGCAAGCACAAGGTCCTGAGTTCGATCCCTGGTACTCAAAAGAAAAAAACAAAACAAAACAAACAGAAGAAATTCTCTTTTCATAGAAAACAAAAATGAATGAGCAGGGCTGGGGATTTAGTGGCACCGTGCCTGCCTCACAAGCGCAAGGTCCTGAGTTGGATCCCTGGTACCAAAAAAAAAAAAGTGAATGAGGACCTGGGCAAAGTGGCACATACCTATAATTCTAGTACTCTAGGAGGCTGAGGCCAGGGGATCACAGTTTTCAGCTCAGCCTGGGCAACATAGCAATTAAGCAAGTTTCTGTCTCAAAAAATAAAAAGGGGGCCGGGGATTTAGCTCAGTGGTTCTGGCGCCTGCCTTGCAAGCACAAGGTCCCAAGTTTGATCCCCGGTACCAAAAAAATAAATAAATAAAATAAAATAAATAAAAAGGACTGGGGATGTAGCTCAGTGCAAAGGCTCTGGGTTCAATCCCTGGTGCACATGAGAGACACGGGCGCGGGGGGGGGAGCACGAGTGTGCCAAGTCACAGGCGCCACCTGATTTCCTCCTCTGTGCAGCCCAAAATGGTTTTTTGTTTTGTTTTGTGCAGCCCAAAATGGTTTTTTGTTTTGTTTTGTTTTTTGGTACTGGGGATCAACCTTGGGTCCTTCAGGTTGCAAGGCAGGCACTGAAACCACTGAGCTAAATCCCCGGCCCCCAAAATGGTTGTTTACTCCATTACAGGTGAACCCAGCACATGCCACACAGCTATGAGGACAGAGATGGATCTGAACTCCTGACTCTTGAACTCAGAAATTCCCCTCCTTTTGCTGCCAGCAGTGCAAATGTCCCCAGTCTGCTAGGAGGACACCTATTGGCCACATCAGGGCCACAGTGCAGCTGTGTGGGACACCACTTGCAGAATTGCTGCTGTAACATGAAGTTGAATTTCACCTTTGGGAAAGAGATGACACGTGTGTGAAAAGCATTTAACTCCTGGACACTTGGGACTGGAAATCACATGGATCACAATGACACACTGAAACACTTGGCCTTAGGGGGGAAAATGTGTTGTTTATTATAGAAATGAAAAGCTGAAATGTACTGTCCTGTGACACAGGATTTGATGGTATTTTAAATTGTTACAAAAGAAAGGAAGGAAAGAGAGGGGGATGCTAATATTTGTAGCACAGTAAGAATGTTTGTAGCCAGAGATGAATTATGAACACTTAAATTAGAATTTCCTGCTCTGAAGCCAGGCATGGTGGCAATGCCTGTAATCTCAGCATTCTGGGAGGCTGAGGCTGGAGGATCACAAGTCTGAGCCCAGCCTGGGCATCTTAGCAATTTAGGGAGACCCTGTCTATTATAGTTTATATATAGATGTCCCCCCAAAGCCTCATGTCCTCACAGGTGGGGGTTGGGAAGGTGATTGGATCATGGGTATGTGATACTTATTAGTGAATTAGTCCACTGATGTGTTTATAGCTAAATGTGATGTTGAGAGTCGAAGCCTGATCGAAGGAGGTGGATCACTGGGGCCTTGGCCTAGAAGGATCTAACTCTCTCCTCCTCCCTTGATCCCTTTCTGCTTCCTGCCTACCCTGCTATGGACTGTTTCTTCTCTGCCATGCCACTTTGCTTTGGAGCCAGTCAACTAAGGACTGACACTTCTACAAACTGTGAGCCAAAATCAACCTCTCCTCCTTAACTTCTGAGTGTCAAATATTGTGTCCCAGTGATGAGAAAATAACCCTGTCCAAAAATAAAAAAATACAGAAGACTTTTCTTCTGAGTGTTTCTTCCAAGACAGCACATATCTCTAGGAATTGATGGATTGGCTTGATGTAGTCTTGTCAAAAGCAGAGGTTTATGGGTTGAAAGTTAGATTGGGGGGGGGGGCACCAGTGATTGAACTCAGGAACTTGCACTTGTGAGGCAGGCAGCAGCAGTACTGAGCTAAATCCCCCATGCCTGGATTTGGTTTTCTGGGGCAGTGTTAGTACATTTCAGCTGGAAGCCAAGTACTGGGCCCCAACACAGGACCAAGCTGCCATTTCACTAGGACAAGTAGAGCAGCCCAGGGTCTCCCAGGTACAGACAAACCATTCCCTCCCATTCCCCATACTGCTCTCTTGAGTGCTAAGGCTCCATGACTGAGCATGATTCACTTGGTTCCCCAAACCACTGTGTCACCTTGTCACCTCATCCAGGAGAGGACAGTCAGGGACTTTGCTGAAATCACCTTCCTACTATTATAGATAGGTAAGTTAATTAGATATCTTGTAGGCAGTTAGGGCCAACTCAAGGTGCCAGCCCTCAAGGTGCCAGCCCTCAAGGAGCCAATAGGGAGAACAATTAAGACACATTTGCTGGGTAGCATTATAAAGAAGAAAAAAGGTACTACTTCCCCTAAAGAGAGATAACAGTGATTGATATTATAAATGGGAAATTCCTTGTATGTGACTTGTTTTCCCATTTGATCCCCATTTTAATCAATATTACGTGGGTGATTGTACTTGTAATCTTATTGGTTGGTCATGGTTTTATCCCACCTCATGCCCACCTTGTAATTTTCCATTGGGTCTTATAGTTTTGTCCCATTTTGTACCCACCTCACCTCATGGCTTTGCCATATAAAACACCTTCGAAAAGCAGCGTGGGTGGGCAACCCACTTTCCAATCCCCCTTCTGTCTCTCTTAGAAGCTTTCTTTCAATAAATTTTTTCCTACTCCTAGCCTCCATCATTCCTAGAATTCATTCTTCACTTTTAGAGAATATGAACTCACATTTCAGATATCTAGCAGGTTTGGGAGTTACATCTATTCCCCCTATATCACTACCATCCTGGGCGGTTGAGACCCTTAATTTCCAGCTTCCAGCCCTGTATTTCAGCACCTCTTCCTGGCTCCAGCCCTGGGTCTTACTACAAGGGGAAAAAATGGTGCACTCTCCATTGGCTAAGATACAAATGAGACAAAACTGCCATTGCAATGCAAGTCAACTGATTTTTAAATTTATTATTTACTATGTATGTATGTATATATGTATGTGTATATATATTTATTTGTTTATTTTGTGGCACTGGGGATTTAACCCAGAGCTTTTGCACTGAGCTACACCCCAGCCCATTTTATACTTTTTGTTTGGGGAGAGGGTCTCATTAAGTTGCTCAGGCAGGACTGGAATTTATGATCTTCCTGCCTCAGCCTCCCAAAAGGCTGAGCTTACAGGCATCTCCATGAGATTACAGACTCAGCTATTTACTAATTTTAATTGTGATAAAACAGGGGTAACGCAAAATTTACCATTGGAAGTGTAAGTGCAGGGGCATCATGTACACTGACATTGGGTGCAACTGGTGTCCTGAACTCCTCGCTGCAGGGCCGGATCAACACAGAGGGCTGCTGTGTCCAAGTCAGGAAAGTGAGTGCCCTCACCCCGTGGGAAACACCTGCTCAAAGTGAGCCCTGCAATGGCCCACAGAGGGGTGGAAGGACTCCAGCGCGGGCTTCCACGTGGCTCTGGTCCAAGGCCAAGAGGAGCAGGCAGGAGAGGCCAGCGCCTGACCTTTCCCTCAGGCCTTGTAACCTGCAGCCCTGCTGCCTGAACCCAGGCCAGGAATGTAATAGGTTCAGTATGGCTACAATATAGAGAGTCAAAGACTGACTTGCTTGTACTCTGTTAAACTGAGCTTTGTGTAGTACAGGATTGTTTGTTGTTTTTTTTTTACCATGGTTCTCCCCTGCTAAGGGACCTCTCTAGCATGCATGATTAGAGAAAAAGCAGCTCTAAGATAAAAGTATTTCATGAGCTCATCTACCTTTGTTTATTCATCAGCAAACATTTTCAAGGACCTGGCAGGCAGCTGGTTTTCCCATGACCACCTCCTGCTGTTCTTGCCAGAACTGTGAGGCGGAAGATCAGCCCAGGGTACCCACTGGAGCCAGCCTGGTGCTAGTCCTGCCCTGCCACCTGGATTCCCTCGAACCAGCTGGGCCCCCTGCAGAAGGGACTCCCTCCCCCGCCCTGAATGTCACTTTCCAAATTTCTAAAACGCGACCAATACTACGTCTACTTCCTGGGCTGCTGTGAGAGTGAGATGAGATAAACTAGGCCTGCAGTCAGCCCAGTGCTGGCGACAGCTGGCGTTCGCTGCCTGTCACCCGGTGGTGTAGACGCAGGCATCTCAGTTTGCACCCCCATGAGGCACACATTCTTGTTCTGTTTCTGGGGACTGGAGGCACTGGGACTTTTGTTCTGAGCTATGTCCCAGCCCTTTTTTTTTTTTTTTTTTACTTTTTGAGACAGTCTCACCAAATGGCTTAGTCACTTGTTTTTGTTTTGTTTTGTTCTCAGAATCAGGGATCCAATTCAGGGCCTTGTGCTTGCCAGGCAGGCACCAAGCCACTGAACAACATCCCGGCCTTTACCCAGATTGGGTTTGAACTTCTTATCCTCCTGCCTCAGCCTCCCAGAGTGTTGGGAACATTCTTAATATGGCCCTTTTAGGGGGCCGAATACAGAGCGCTCAGAGAGGTGGACCCACAGAAGTGGTGTTCACAGCCAGCATCTGTGGAGGTGCAGCCCCCGCAAGGACAGCAAGGTCTGCGTGGAGTGCTGGGGCGGAGCGGGTGGCTCTGCAGACTAAAGCCAGGGGCAGTGACTTTAACTGCGGAGCAGCTGCTGCTGGGGTGCAAAAGCCCCGCGGCCCCCACCGCACACAGCTCCCAGCCCCACGGTTCCGGCTTTGCGAAGCCCCCTCCTGGTCTTGCTCTTCCCTCCCTTGCTTCCGGCCAAAGCCCCCTCCTGGTCTTGCTCTTCCCTCCCTAGCTTCCGGCCCCTCCCGCTCCTCTCCCCGCCTCTCCTGCCGCAGCCCGGCTCCCTCTGCATTTCCGCTCAGCTCCTCTCTCTATTTGGCGCCTCCCTTGCTTCCCCAACGCGGGTTGGGCCCTGAAGTGTTAAAGCACGGGAAAAGCATCCACACCCGCCTTTCACCGAGCCCCAGAGCCAGGGGTCTCATAGCTGGAGGCAGGCTGTGAAGGAAGAAGACGGGGAAGGTTTTTATTGTAGACTAAGCGCAGAATGCAAGACTTGGCCGCCACAGTGACTCCCTGCGGTGCTGGGGCCCATGGCTTTGTACCTGTCACTTTCAACCAATTTCTGTCGTGGGGAGTGCTGGGTTTCTCCTCCATCTCAGCAGAGAGCACGATGTGTGCGGGGGGTGGGGTGGGTGGGTGGGTTGAAATCCCTGCCCCCGGGCGCAGTTGGGCCCCAATTCCATCTACCAGACACCGTGGGGGTCACTGAAGGGATGGTGGAAGCAGAGCTGAGTCCAGTTTCCCAGGTTGTACACTGCTGCAGGTAGCATTCCAAGAACTCCCCTGCCCAGGGTCCTACTCGGGGCCTCCACCTGTGTGTGAACTGGACCTGCCTCGCCCCTGGGACAGAAGAGCTCCCTAGAGAACATGACTGTGGCTCGTTGGCTGGAATACTGGAAAAGCTCACAGGTTGTCACCGCCACTGGGACCCTCAGGAGAGCTGTCCTGGCCCTGCTTGCTCCTGGTTCTCTGGAGACTGCAGGCCCAAGAGGAAGCCCCAGTGGGACCGAGCCACAGGGCTCAGGGGGCTGCAGGGCGCTGCGACAGACACAGCAAGCAAACTTCCGGGGCTCCTGCAGCTGCACGTGAGATGATCTCAGGGGCCCTTGTCTGTTACACACATGTACCCCACAGAAAGCTGTGCAGCCCATGGAAAAGAAGAGAAAACTAGAAAGTGCTGTCAGGGTTGACAAGGCATAATCTCCAAACTATAGTCTTAACTACAAATAAAAAGGAAGTCAAGTGGGGTGGCCCACGCCTGTAATCCCAGCACTTGGGAGGCTGAGGCAGGAGGTCAGCAAGAGCTCAAGGCCAGCCTGGGCTACATAGCGAGACCCTATCTCAAAAAATAAAAATGAAAAAACAAAAATAAATCAAGCAAACCAAAAGAAGAGAAACAAAAGGAAAATCAGATCAGCATAGATGATACGTCCCTATTTGTGTGATTGTATATGCAAGAATATCTCCTGGGTACACCAGAGATGCTGGTGCCTCGCAGGGGTGAGGTCTGGTCCCTAGATAGTTGGCACTGATGTGTTTTCAACTTTTCATCATTTGCGTATTTTCTATTTTTTTAAAAATAACATCTAAAAGAATTGAAGGTAGACTGTCAAGGTAGCGTCAGCCAAAGGCAGGCCACCCTGGCACCCTTTTCTTTTTTTTTGGTACCAGGGATGGAACTTGGGTTCTTCTGCTTGTGATGCAGGCGGTGCAACCACTGAGCTAAATCCCCGGGCCCTGGCTCCCTTTTCTGAGTCACCTGAGCTCCATGTCCTTCATTCCACGCAGGGCCCCGCAGTGGGGACAGCATACTCCAGGAGCCAGATGTGTCCAGCCAGGCAGCCGCTGCCCAGTCTGTTCTGGGAACACTGCCCTTCCCTCACCACCACCCCACCATGGCCACGAAAGGGGCGCCCCCCCCCCCGCCCCCGGCACAGCCCTGGGAGCCTCATAACCCGTGAGGCAGGGCGGGAGGAGGAAGGGAATGCAGGCAGGGTGGGCTTGGAGTGGCATTTGTGGTCCTGCGTGGGTGTTCTCGGTGTTTCCGGAGGCCTGGGCGAGCTGGGGCCTCCCACTCTCCCGAGGGCTGGGCATGCAGGACCCCCAACTTCCTGACAAAA